GGGAGGGGAGGGGGAGGGGTTTGAGGGTGTTGTACTAACTAAAGAGCTTCTGAAGTGACAGTAAGCTACAAAGAGTTCAACCCTAAGTCTTAAAATTGCTGTAGTACAATCCTATATTTTAAGTTTAATTAGAGATGGCTACATGACATTGTATACAAGTCATGTTACAACTGTCATGAATGCTTTTACCAGGTTTAAAGTGTCCATCAACAATGTCAACAACATGTTCCTCTGGTTTTGGTTGCACAACAGCAAATCCTCTAAACTGTGACAGATCAGCCATGTTGTAAACATAGTGATAAAGACCAGGCTCAGCAAATTGATAGGAAACAAGTTCAGCAATTCTACAATAAAGAATAATTATAATCAAAGCATGAAAATCATTGACAGAAAATGTTCACTTAAGATAATGTAAATAAAATCTCATTGTACATTAGGGTTCAAATGGAGATTAAAAAAAATGTGTAAAGATCAAAATGATACTTAAGACAACAGCCTTACTGTTACCAAAAAATGTGTAAAGATTAAAATGATACTTAAGACAACAGCCTTGCTGTTACCAAAAAATGTGTAAAGATCAAAATGATACTTAAGACAACAGCCTTACTGTTACCAAAAAATGTGTAAAGATCAAAATGATACTTAAGACAACAGCCTTACTGTTACCAAAAAATGTGTAAAGATCAAAATGATACTTAAGACAACACCCTTACTGTTACCAAAAAATGTGTAAAGATCAACATGATACTTAAGACAACGCCCTTACTGTTACCAATTACGCAAATGAGCCTACTAGCTCCCAATCTATCCCTGCTGGCCAGTTTATACTCAGGGAATGAAGGGACTAACAGGGCTGCTAATTCCTTCTGAATTGAATTTTATGAGACATTATAAATCCATGCTTACAGTGTCCCCTCTAATTTCTGAGGTTAATAATAATTAATTTTGCTACTGCACATAACACTGCATACTTCTTGGTGAAAAGAGGTATTGTAAGAGTTTGAACAAAAAAAAAAAATGGCCAGGACTGGGAAACAAGCTCTGATCCAAAATTCATTGTACTGGTATAGACCAAGGGGCTACAATACTTGAATGTGTGCACAACTGTGTAACAATATTAAATTAATTACCCACTGACAGTTTGTTCAATCACAATTATCAAACACAAATATTGCTACAAAGACTGAGGGTGTACCTGGTTGAGCCAGCACACAGTTTGGATGAAACCAATGGACTTGCTATGGTATCTTTATAAATACAAGCATTTAAAATCTTTCTCCCAACAGTCTAAAATTGAAAATAACAGTGTTGCAAAGAAATCTCATTAGTTACATAATTATACAAAAAATTATTTAAGACTTTTAAATTCAAAGAGTAGAAATTCAAAATTAAAAGTAATGTCTAAAGAACAGACAATGTGAATTCATCAAAAAATTCATGTTACAATTGGGAAAAAAATTTCTCATACAAAGATTTTGAAAAACTCTTTCAGATAGTGTACTTAAAAAAAAAAATTAATGTTTTACTCTCACCCTGTTAGTTGGACAGTGAAGCCAAATTCTATCATGGACTCTGGCTGATATCATGCTTGGATTTAGACCCTCGTCAGATGGATGAATTGAGAACTCCCTGAAAACAACAGCAACAAATTATAGACCAATTGGCATTTAATAAGGTTTGCTTTTGACCTTAATTACTTTGGCATCATGTAAAACCTTTGGGCTGAAATAATTCATTTCACAGTTGTGTGTTTATACTTTTCAAGATTTTCAACAGTCTAGAAACAAGCCTCAAATTGACCTAATGTTAAAATTAGCTTTCAACAAGAGACCAGTTGGCCTGTATAAACAATTTCATAAAAAGCAGTGAAGTCTACATGCAGAAATGTACATACATAGTTACATACAATACATATTTTATTTGATAAGGTAGGTTAATTAATGGCAGCATTTATGTTGATGTGGACCAGTGCTCTAACAATAATAAATATCATATAAATACATGCAAAAGTAAGCTGAAAAAGTATTTTAGAGAAAAAGTATTTTTATAACTAAAAAACTAAAATAAATATCATTGTTAAAAGTAAATCACTGACGTTGTTGTTTGTTGCTGTTGGGTTAGAGCCAAATGAAATTACTTCCACAGAGGTAAGATTTAAATGAGGTACAGCTTAGAATAGGTTTTAGCTGACTTGGTAAATAGTTCCAGACTACATACTAGCACAGTGGGTAAAGGAGTGGTGAAGAACGTTAGAGTTAGAATGAACAAGTTCAAATCTTAGGTTTTCCCTTAGGTTGTACTTAGTTCTGTGTTTAGAAAACAAATTTGTAATTCTGTCTGGCGTCAAATTGTTCATAGCCTGATATGCTATGCAAGCAAGTCTTTTTTTGGACATATAGAGTTGAGAGTTCCGTTTGGTCTTGCAGAGATCGAACTTCATGTTAAGGGATAGATGGACTTAAAGTGGATATCCATCTGGCAGCAGGTATGTGGGAGTATTCGAGCTCGGAAAATAAGCTTCATGATCCCCAAAGAGAAAAACAATGGGTGCAGGCACTAGGTAAGGTGGCTTTGAAGTAGATTGATTCCAAAGTGGGTCAGTCAAAGGACTTCATCCGGAGTGTTTGAGTTTGGTAATATTAGTATTGAAGTAAGAAACAGTTAGTTTAATATGAGGAGACCAGTTAAGTTGTTGTCCTTTAACCACCAAGCAAGATCAGCTGCATACACATTTGTGGGGCTTGTCAGCTAAAGTGATAGGTTTGACTGGGCCGATAAAAGGAGACTTGGACATAAACATAATTTCCGTCTTAGTGGGATGGATAAACATAAAGTTAGATATATCGATTTAGCCCAGTTGTGTAGTTGATTAAGAAGCTTTTGAATTTGGATGGAGATAGTATCAATCAAGTCACCAATAAAGTAAGCTGCAAACTTTTGAAGGTTAGAATCTAAGTAAAGAGAAAGATCATTTGTGAAAATAAATAAAGCCTAGGCCCTAAGAGGGAACATTGGGGTACACCGGAGGTAGTCTTCATTTTGTCTGATGTAGATCCATTGACAGAAACAAATTGTTGTCAGTTGGAGAGGTAATCCATGACCCAGTCAAGAGCATCATTACAAAAGCCAAAGGCCTGGATTTTCAGGGGTAAAATTCAATGAGAAATGCAGTCAAATGATTTCTGGAAAACTACAAATATTATTCTAATAGCTTCCTTCTGGTCAAGGGCAATTTGCCATTTCTCAGTCATGCTAAGTAAATAGGAGTTCACATGATTTTCCTTCCAGAAAACCCACTGTGAATCGCTAAGTAGATTGTGGTGGTCTAAGAAGGAATCAAGCTGAAAACAGGTGAGACTTTCCAGTAGCTGGAGTGGTATACTAAGCAAGGAGATTGGGCAGTAGTTGCCACAATCATGTGTGTTTCCCTTCTTGTGGATACAGTTAACTTGGGCTGTTTACCAATGGTTAGGAAATTTACAGTCAGCAAAGCTCTTTGCTGCAATCTTGAGAAAGCTATCAAAGAAGACATCACCTAGCAACTGGAGCTCTTTTCCACTGATATTATCACGGCCATTAGCTAATTACCCACTTTGATATGCAGCTTAAAACAGTGGGATATAATATCAGTGGGATATAATATCTCAGTTAACAGCAAAAGATATAAGGGAAGGAGTAATTCTATAATAGATAGCAGATATGGTACTGGAATGACCTTGCACTTGGGTGCCATAGGTATTAGCCAAAGTTGAGCTTATACTGGTAAAATAGGAATCAAGTTCATTAGCCTTTGACAAATCGTCAGTTAAGAGTCAGATGATGAGTCAGTAATGCTGATTTGAAATGTAAGCCCCTCCAAGGCTTGGCCACTAAACACATAAGAAGTATAAAATGGACTTCTGCCTTCTCCAATATAAAAGAACAGAAATCAAGTGCTGTTGATCAGTTGTTACACTGGCCGTGATCAGGTGGTTAAACATCATGTCAATCAAAATACCTTTCTTTGTTTGCTCTTTTTTGTTTGCTAGATGAAGTACAATACTTTTAAAACATACGTTTAATGTCTGTAAATATTTACAAAGTTAACCTGTTTAATTGAGTAACTCTCACAACACAAGTCAGGTTTGCTGAGTCATCAAGCCAGTCTGTGTCTGTTTCATGCTTATCAAGGTAAAAGTAGTACAGGCCTGTGTCCTGAAATGTCATTTCATGGGTTGAATGAACATTTATCCTGAATAAGAGAACAAAAAAAAATTTGTTTGTAATTCACTACTAGTCATGCCACTTATAATGTTTGATAACCAGTATCACTGTAATGAAGTACAGTTAAAGAAATGCAAACACACTCAAGCTTTTCCAACAACTTGTCAACTTTACCTCTCTGATATAGATTTAAATAAGGTCTAAATAATTTGGAAAGTAAAATTATTTGTACCTCGATTTCTTAGGAACAAACCCAGCATGTTTAAAACAATATCTGAAAAAATAAAATTATGTCATAAGGACAGGGCAGTCAATGGCATGCAACAGTCGCAACCAGTATATTGTTACATTTGCTTCGATTCTCTAAAGTACAGTTTTATTTAGTCATTAATAAAACTTAACTTATCTCCCAGTCTGGTAAACAGAGTATTTATCTCTGATTCTTTCCCAAAAGGTGTCACGCTACATACAATAGTGAGAGCCGAATACCTGGGCATGTCAGTTAATGTACCTTTTTCTCAATCCAACAATTCCCGACTTCGTACCTTTAACTTCCCCCTTTGATGATAAATGGCAAAGCCTGCACTTGAAATGAGTGGCTTGAAATAAGGCAGCCAGATCGGGGCATGACACTAACTTTTCAACTTACTAGCCAAGTGGCTGGTAACATCTTAGATGTTAGGACAATTTCAGTTTGTTTACTAGCCAAACTAGCTAGTAGAAATCGAAAACCACAAGCCAAAACTGAATTTCTAAGCTAGTCTGTGGCCAGTTGGCTACCGTTAGTGTCGAGCCCTGCAGATCTAATCGCAGTCTCTTTAGCATGACACTATTATGAGCATTAACTCATCCTCCAAGATGGGATGCCAGTCCANNNNCCCCCGAAAAAAAAGAAAAAAATTCACCAGTACTCTTTTACACTCCTGAGTGGAGAGAGACACTGAGGGAATACACACTGAACACAAGCAACCCACCACGACCCAAACCACCACGACCCAACCCACCACAACCTTAACCCACCACGACCCAACCCATTACGACCCAACCCACCACGACCCAACCCACTACGACCCAACCCACTAAGACCCAACCCCCCACGACCCAACCCACTACGACCTAACCCACTACGACCCAATCCACTACGACCCAACCCACTAAACATTACACCACAATGCCTCCCATTCCCAGGGACACAGACAATGACACGTATTCATTGTACATGTGTGAGATGAGAAAATCCTGCTATCGTCGTTCAGCTCAATTAGTTTGACAAACAGGGTGGGAATTATTAATAACAGTCTTAACTCGACATTACTTACTCCATCTCTTGAATAACACAAGACAAAGCTTCAGAATCTCCATATTTACAGCTCCAATGAACAGTTTCTCCTTCTTCAATGTCCACCAAGATCTGCTCAAATCCTTTGCCTGTTATCTAAAGGATAATGATTATTACTAACATTAGATGACATAATTTCTCTGTATTTTTTACAATTTAATTTCCATTCTTATCCCCTTTCACACAATGCTGAGAAATGTCATGTTTACATTTTTTTTGCTGCAATTTTTCACTCCTTTCAAAAATTTCATACAGTGTACCTCTTCAGAATAGGAAAATTATTAAATAAGATCAAATATTCTGCGCACCGTGACGATGTTCATTGGCTTCTCCACTACTTGTACCTTGAAAGGCAATACGAGACAGCTACGGTCCACTGACTCACTAAAATTGAAAGAAAAGACAAAGTTGAATGATCAGGGTGCATTTTAAAGTTTAATTAGTTGAGTTATGAATTGGCCAAGAAAATTATCTCGGCATTAAGAAATGGTAGAATGTTTTGACTCTATTTAAACTAAATTATGTTGTGCAATTCAACCTGACCATGTGTCTTAATGACTCATTTGCAGTCAAAGCAAAGAGAATATTAGAAGGAAAAACCTTGACTGATGAGTCTCACTTTATTCCCACGTACCTGATAAATAATATACCTGACTTATTCTGAATGGTTGTTGTATGTTTACTTTAATTTACAACACAAACCTAATGAAGGTGAATTGCCCTTTCCTCCTAAAGTACACCTTGAAAGATCCATCAGCTGTGAGATCACCACTGTTGTATCCACCAGGAACACAATTCAGTTCTGTACCACAAACCTTCAAGTTATAAAATCCAAATCATAGCTATTCAGCTGTTTTCATTTAAAAAAATACATCCAACTATCACTTATGGCAACATTTCGTTTAATGCATAGCAATAGGAAGCAGCTAGTTTATAGTTTATTACCTTCGCTGACCAGCAGGGACACCACAACAGCTTGCGCCAAGTGCTGCAGGTCCAGTAAACCCACCCATCCTACCCCAGGGGAGGACATCCATCAGACAGTAATCTCGTGCGTGGGAAATTAACATCTCCTAACCCCCAACCCTGCAGGAGATGGGACCTCCATTTATTTGTCCCTATCCGAGAAGACTAGAATATCTAACCATTTCTTGATGTTATAGAAATTAAGGTAGCAACTTTTTCTCAATTATTTTAAGACCTTGAGTGTTGGTCCGCCCGGGGCTCGAACCTTTGACCTCCCGCTCAACAGTCCAGGGCAATATCCACTGAGCTAACTGGGCAGCGGTGGTAAAAAATTATATTCTAGCTTGGACCTGGAATATAATTTCTTCAAGGCTATCGTAACTTTACCAGCCAGAAGTAGTATTCTTTTAAATTTATCTTATTCTAAATGGTGGGGGATTGAGGACTGCTATGCTGACCACCTAATGAAATAATTTGTTATCACTGGAAAAAGTTGATTATTAGCAGATGTTACTTTTTTATACAAAGCTCTCCACAGAATAATTGATATTGATGTTGGACCTCATGTAGATTTCTATTAGGATACTGATCACCATTCATTTAGACACAACAATAAGTTAACTCTAACGACATGCAAGAACGAATGTTCTAAAACATAGTTATTTTCATAGAGTTGTGGGAGCAAAGAAATCCCTTCCCCTTTCCATTTGTGAGGCAACAAGTGTAAATTCTTTTAAAGTCTTAGTTAAAAAGTTTTTCATGGAGTAGTTCATTCTCTTAATGTATTTATTGTTTAATATTTATATTTATTATTACCATATTTTAATTTCCATCATTATTTTCATTCTAGTACCATTGGTGATCTGCTTTAATATGGGGTCTATGACTTTTGCATTTCATCCCTTGGCTTCTGTTTTTTGTATGCCATAAATGGTAATAAATAAATAAAAGAAAGAAGAAAAAAGTCAATTCAGTTGTTGTCCCCTAAAATTTTTTAGTTGTTAAAAATTCAAAAATCATTGTCTTGACTTAGAGTGAAACATGCACTTCAAATTCAGCTATTAATTTTGTGCTCATAAAGTGACCCAATAATTCAAAATAGACTTTTGTGATCGGCAATCAGGTGTAATGGACACTAGTCCACCTTTGAGATGGCAAGAGGAAAAACTCATGCATTCTTAAGTCTTGTTCTTAAAGCTCACCAGTTTGACTCCAGGAAAAGAATAAATACACTTAAAACTGACAGCAGTCAAGTGTCCTAGCAACATGTATTAGGCTACAGAACTAACAAATAATTACAAAGTGGGTATATCACCCCTTGCAAAAACCTTCTTGTTCAATTGAAAATGGTTAGATTACCTGAACTATTCTGAAACCTTGGGAGGTGCTGTCATTCCATTCAAATGAAATGCTCTGGAAATAAATACAAAGACCAGTGAGCATGGTTCCAAAATAAAAGGGGCAATGAATAAAAAAGTGAAGCTGCCAGGTTTAGGAGGCTAGAGCTCATAATGCTGAAATGTACTAGTATGAAAGAAATCTTAAATTCTTCATATCTTCCTGAAAGAATCATGGTTAAATTATGAAACAAAAAACAACGAAAATAAACGTAACAATAGTGAGGCAAAGTTTCACATTATTATTCAAAAGGCCAATAAAATTTGAACCAAGGATAAAATTGAACTACAACATTATATACATTACACGGAATTAACGCTCAGCTTAACAATTTCTAACTAAATTAAGTTTTTGAATTCTGAAATAATTTGCACAACATTTTTCACTACATTTTTCACCACCACTGACCGACGCAACATAGTCTTTTCTGTGAAGTATCACGTTTATTCAATCCTTAATTTCGCAGATAAATTATAATGCGAGTGATGAACGAGAGATGTATATATTCAGCTGTTTACACTCTATACTCACCTGTCCTTGATACAGGACAAGTTCTGCTGGATTAAATCCCTCGTTCGACACACGAACTGGAACAACACTACCTTCTGTATAAGTAAAATCGAAATTGTATCTCTATAAGCGTGTGAGTTCAACAAGTTTTGCAAGACAGGGAGTTGAATAAAACAACAAGCCGAAGAAATTTTCACTTCATGTTCACTTTTCAGATGGTTTATATTTTTCACGCTACAGGACGCTACAAAATTACCCTGATTGTTGGATAAACTTAATTGTACCTGTAAAGGTAGCATTTTTCCCTTCCAATGTTGAAATAGTAGAGTTCTTTGAAGGCTTGGGAAAAACAACTCCCATCCTGAATGAAAGATTACGGCGCCATAACAGCTAATTACAGTTCTCTCAGACACACACAGCTCCCAGATCTGCTGGCCATTTCAAGTACAAGTTAGCAAACCAATCTGCCATACTGCCACGATGATCCGTCGATTTAAACATAACTTTAGGCGAGAGAAAAATCTCCGAGGATACCTCGATCTTCTACGCTGCCATTATTTATTTGTGTTTCGCTGGATGGACCGAATCTCGGAAACCGCCGTTAATAATTATCAGTGTTGACAAAGGCAAAATCTACATACACTTCGTTTCCATGCTGGATGTTAGGCTACCTGATGAGGGAGGGGTTAAATGAGGAAACGTTCCCTCCAGGGTAGAGCAAGGCCATTTGGCTTACCTAGCCAAACAATGTCTGAGATTAGCTTGTAATTTTATTTTCATGATAGATTGATAATGTATTTATTTCATCTACGAGGTAAGCTAGGCATTTTATGTTCTTTTGGACAGTTTTTTTTTTTTACTGTGGGGAAAATAAGGAGTGATATAAACCTATTTTACATGATAAATGTTAGGTAGTAAATAGGATTTTGTTTTCTTCTCCTACAAACGTATAGAGGGCCCATTTTAAACCTAACTGATGTGAAAATTACGAGGTGTGTTTTGAATACAGTGATAAAAAAAAATCAAACTGGAAATTTATAGCCTATTTACCACAGAAAGCATTTCAACAGCTAGGTTTTACCAACAGAATGTTACATTGATCGCAAACAAAATGTGATACACCGGTATGGTATTTTGGTTTCAGATTGACTTGCCTCTTCTGTTAAAAAAAAAAAATTGAATTTTTTAAACATGGGCCTGAACTATTTCAAAACAATTTGAGAGCATATCTGCGCCTTGTTTACAGATATTTATATGATAAGCTTGGCGATCCCTGAATTTCTTTATTCAAAATGCTGACACGAAAGTGACAAGCCGTATGAACCTGTGAGGGTTTGAAATTTCCCGCATGCAACTTTAATTCTAGCATTTATCAATTCTCGTCTAAGTAAGTATTTCAATAGCCTCGTGTCTCTCACAACAGGGAAAAAAGTTACAGGGTAGCCGAACGTTGTCAGTGTAGTACTCTCATTTCTGTTTAACCAGATATTTCTATGATGATACGCAACTTTTCATGCTTTTTGGAAAGTGATTTCATGAAAAATAATAAATATATTTTAATTTTCACTTTGAGATGCCGCCAATTTGTAATTTGAAATTCAATTCATGATTCAAGTTTTTTCATGATAGGAGTCTCGATTTCAAAACAACCCTTCACTGGCTAGAGGTTTCTTATAGTTTATTTGGATAAATTAATACAAAGAAGATCTCACGAAACGTTTTCAAACTTTCTTTTTATCTTTGTAGTTGATGCTGAATCTATTGAAAAGTATTTGATCCAACAGAATAAACATATCATTTAATGCCGTGTCGTGCGGCGTCGTGACTACCAAGAGCTAGTATTGTGTGCGTGATAGATGGGTTTTTCTATTCGGTTGACTTTTTTCGCCTACGCATCTTCATTAACAAATGAAACAAATGCAAATACTGTTGGGTCCACTAAGAAATTAATAATGCCTCAGAGGCTGATATCCGTGTTTGATATATGAGTCACGGCATATATTCGAGGGAAAATACTAAGCTGATGAGAAATGTACCGCTCGTGTCGTGATAGTCCAAAGTAACCAGGAGAAAAGTGGCACTGAAAGGACATGGAAATAAACATGAACTTTTTATACATTGTAAGAGTATGTAAGGTGAAAATTTCCGAGTTTTTTTTTTTTTTCCGTCACATAATTTTGGCAAAAAGGTTATGGTAATTCTTTGTCGATGTTGATTCGCTTTTTTCCTTTTTCTTTTCACAGATCGCCAAAGTGAAGGCTTTCTATCTTGTAAAGATCTCTAGCAACTGACGGACGGATCACTCGCTTGCCTTTCATCTGTTTTTATTTGAACAAGTAGATCTAAAAGGTAAGAAAATAAAACCCAAACCTTGTGTATGATCTTGGTTGATTATATTTCCTCTTGAAATACAACGTGACAGCTGACTAGCATATCTTAAATTTTCTAAGAAATATATCGGTATTCAATTATTTTTCTAGAGGAAGAAATCATTCATCAAAAGTGAGAAATAGTAGGAATGAGCAGAACTTGTTTTGATGTAACTTAAAAAAAAAAAAAAAAAAAAAAAAAAAGAGATTATCGAGCGAATCCCTCTGAAGATTCCACCATTCAATTATTTGTGATTTAACTTCCTTTCCGTTACTGTTCTGCGTTTATAGATACGAATTGTTTTTAAATCTATATTCACTGATTCTATTCACACATGTGGTCAAACTGACCTTTTCTTGACTGCAGAGCAGTAAATGTTAGCAAATGAAGCAAACTTTACGATAGAACGGCCAGAACACAACACTTTCTCGCGTAAAATTGAACAGCAAAACTGCAAGCTGCAACATTCTCACAGTCGTCTCCTTGTGTCGCTGTGCACTGGTGTAATTCTGATATCTTTTTCTTATAAGACTCGATGCTCAACTCCACGCAATTTAAATTTCCATTGTCTGCATACATGCACTTAGAAAACCAAGCAATCTGAAACCTTTATGCAGTGGAGAGCAGGCTGGAAACAAAGTAAAAAACAAAGTTTTGTTCATGCATTCACTTTTGATCACTCTATTTCATCCCATCTTATTCGCTCCAAGCCGGAGTTGCGGATTTCATTATAAATCACCTCTATAAACGCAACAGTTTCCAAAATTTTCCAGTCAACTTTTCGAAGAGCACAAAAGTTTACCATTCAGTTAGTCTGTAATCTCTTGTTCCATAAATGATTGTCCTGGCGTTGTTTCTCATTTCTGGTCAGACAATTTTTTTTTCGGTGAACACGTGGTTAATTGTTTAGTCAATGATATCACCCCGTGAACATAATCCTTGAGCCGTTTCTGAACTTTTTTCGGCGGTCTGGCTAGTTCTGTTTAAAGCTGTAGACAAGATAGAATAATGCACGTGACAGACCAACAGAGTATTCGACATTACTGGTTGTATTAAAGCATGTCGTATTCCATATTTAAGGACTAATACAGCTCTTAAGAAGTTTGATTCTATATTCTTCAAGTGTAAAACTGAAGTAAACTGAACAACTAACAATATTCCCATTTTTAAAAATGGTTCATGAAGAACTGAAAAAAAAATTAAACCATTGCGAATTAAAACGCAGATACACTACTTTTGTCGACTGCATCTAAAACAGAAAGTGAATTGTCCCAACTATATCATAAGCGTCAAAACAAACGAAATATTCTACACTGAGCGGTTAAACAAAATTTCAACAACTGGCTACTTATTACAGCAGCAATGTTCTGAATCTTCTCACTGTATTCACAATGTTTGAAATCACCTAGCCTCTGTTTAAAACATTACTCAAGCTTTGAACACAATTAGAAAAACCATAATTACATTGGTAAACAAAGTTTTGGCCTTAACATGGCTTAACCTTACTTCAAGTTACCTACAGTTTTATGAGGTAAGATCGTTTAAATACGTGACTGCCGCCAAGTCATTCAGTGGTCAGCTTCTCTTTACATTTTCTTAAGCACATTATTCGGGATAACACGAAGACAAAATAGCTTTGACAGAAGCAAATTGAAAACTATCGTTTGCTAGATCTACCCAGCCATACCTCTTTGTTATTTTCGCTTCATTGCACATGTCCATTGTTCTCCTAGACGCATGCGTTCAGGAAAGGGAAACAAACTGCGCATACTCATGAGAATTCTTCCGGGGATAACACTCTTTCAAAAGAAGTTAAAAAAAGTTTGGAAACTTTTTCACAACATCATGCTCTTGAGCATGATTCGATTCGGTTTAATTGAACCAATTTAAAATTCTTCGAAAATGTTTCCCTCAAGAAACGCTGTCTTTGTTTGGGAACGCACAGATAGTAAAATTAGCGTTGCTTAGGGTTTAGATCAAGAATGGTTAAGTACATCTCTCTATATAGAAATGGCCACTGACAACAACACACCATTAAATAAAGAGCAGTTCAAGTTGAAATTATATTTCTCAGCACTTTACGTTATCATGCTTTCATGAATCTTCCTCACTTTGAAAAAATGACATCTTCTAAAGCTTTACTTTGTAAGAAATGAATATTTCCAGAGAAAGCTAATTGCCAACCAACTATTTCGTCGTTTCCTCCCCTCTCTTTTGAATATACCGTGAAAACATTTTAACGACAATCAAAAATTCATCCATTTATTAATTCTCTCTGTGCTTATTGCATTAGCGAGTTGCGACTTAGTTTACCATTAAGCTAGCTCATGTTTGAGAACCATCGAGAAACTGGCAAAGTCCCTTTGGTTAAAAAAAAGCCTATAAAAGGCGAACAAATATTGAAACCTTTTTCTCTACTCTCATACCGTATAAAAGTGGACAAGCTAAGCTTTTAAATAATTAAATAATTCTTGTGGATCACCAATAATATTCAGTTGTGGAAACATGAAACCTGTCAGTTTATCCCACAACTCACCACTTCTAATAAAAAAACCTCTTCTGATGTCGCATAAGAAATCCTGGTTTTGCCAGATTGAGTTTTGGGAAAAGTTTCTAAAAGTGAATTATCCAGAATGACTTTAATCAATAAGTGCTTATAGCAGTGTCCAGTCAGGTGTTTTCTAATTTTAACGCTTAGCTAAAGAAACTTATGTTACTGACTGTATTTGTCATCCTGGGGAATAGATCTTGCATATTAAGTAGAAAACCTGTCACATACTCTCCTACTACGCTTGCGCAGATTCAATATTGGGCAATCCTTTCTGTGTGACCGGTAGGTCAGAAAGTGTTTCATAAGTAAATTGGCTGAACTACATGAGAAACTCCTCTCAAATAACTGCGCCTGATTTTCCGCAGCTCAAGTGATGTTTCTACCCATTACAGCAAATTGGAAATGTCATCTTGGATGGAGATGTTTATATGTTGGTCTGGTAAGTTACTATTTTATTCTATATTTTTTGGTTGATTCTGCTGAAAATGAAGACTACAATATTCGATTTTTTTCGATTTTGAGCGGATGGCGATTCCATTTATAGCCATTTTATGGCTGATTTTTTTTGTTTTGTATCACTCTCGAAATTGTCATTTCATCAGTGCCTTCTTCTTTCCGTCTAAGTCCATTGGGCTCTATTAAGAATCTACGAGAAAGCAAATCATTTAACTGGAAAGCTTGCGAACAAATCTATAATTTTAAAATAGATTCAGCTCGTTCTCTCTCACTCTCCATCAGCAGCAAAAAATTCACGTTTCTCTCACTTATATTTGTATTCTGAGAACCAAGACATACGAATTTATTCGAACGAAGTTGAAGCAATTGGGCGAAATAACCACTCATTCATTCGACTGATTTTATCGACTTAATCCGAAAAAAACAAATATAATAATGATGATAAATAAAACCAATGCTTTCCGTATCACACTAATTTTGTCGAGAAATAATATTTTTATCTTTCGAGGGAGGTGACGATAGTTCGTTATAGTCCCTTCAGGGGTAGGCAGTTGAAGCTGAATGTCGGTCTCAGGTCTCTATTCTCGCGGTTTCTTGTCATTGCAAATTAACTGAAAGGAAACAAATGCAATTTTCTCCACTGGCGCTTGTCTGCCATTGGTTGAAAATTTGACAGCATGTCATTATGCTGTTAGTAGCGAAGACCACTTTTGTTATGATGGCAAGCATAATCTACGTGATGGTAGAGTTGACGTCTGTGTGCCAAACGAAAATAACTACCAATCAAAGAGCGAGAATTCGGTAACTAATTACAATTATTTATCGAATCTTTCTATCGCAATATTGTTTTGAAGGAGGCCCCGTAAAGCGCCGACTGCACCTGCTCCCAATCGACCAGAGAATATAAATTTTAGGGTCCAAAAAATTTACCTTTTTCTTTGAATTAAAGTTCGTAAAAATAGAAATAAATTATTCCTCGCTGGGAATTTACCTCTAGAATCGGAAGGAACGGCCTTTGAGTGAAAAATAATAGGCTTTGGCCACTAACGAATAATATATTTATTTGTTGAAGTTTGGAAAATTTATTCTGTTTTGTCGTTAAGTTTATTTACTATTCCTACCACCGTGGAGTTATGTTCCAATGAACTCCAACGAAAGCAACATCATGATAACATGGCCTTAGATGTTCAAAGCAAATACTGAAGTCAGGTCGATGTTCCTCGGTCAATAATGTGGACAATAAAATAGCGACTGGGATAAAATGTCGATCGAACTCAGTGAATATCTTTTGTATTTATTTCACAAACACTTTCGGCCTCGCATCGCTCGGAATGTATGAGACAGAAAGGCTAAATTTGTTTCCTGCCATGTTCACTTTAATACATCAGTCCCTTTAAGTAACATTAGGTTAAGCTTTGCTGAACGCTCCTAACACAAATTCTACTCAAGTATAAAACGAATTCAATACTTTTAAGCAGCCACTAAGACACAACTAAAGGTGAACCAACCATGAAAAATAAAGCACACATTCTGGATCACCGTAGAGCACAATGTATAAAAAATCGATCGATCCAGCGAGGTCGGCCTTGGCAATTTTACTTTAGAGTATGATTAAAATACTGTCGGCTTTCAAATGTAATTTTCTGCTGAATAATGTTTTTTATGGCTACTCGAGGGATCTGGCGCCTGTATGTTATTTGAAAGATTTTTCTTGTCGATTTTTCAGCATTTTTAGTACGCATGGCCGATCGAGTTGTCATACAAAACGTTGAGCTTGCAACTTTAGGAGTGTTTCTCTTAACACAGTTTTGAAACTTCTGAGAATTGCAGTTCAGCACAAGAAAAACATGCTAGTTTTTCATTTTGCAATTTTGAACGTATATGTTGTATGTAAATTTGGGAAATAAATACTCCAGTGAGGGATTTGTGATACAATGTTTTTTAGGAGAAGTTTTGGAAATACTGTAGCAATCCTGGGCAAACATGTTGAGGTCATTTGATCTAAATGTTAAGCTCCATATTTTACGCTCGTAACACTTTTCTACTTGGTTTGGTAATATTTACTTCTGCACTATACAGAGTGGAAATGACAGTCTAAATTTCTACAAAGTTTGGATTTGCTATTTGGCCTTTTTATAGCTTGCCTTCATTTCTTCGCTGTGGTAACTTAAAAGCCCAAAGAAGACCTTAATAAACTTCATACCTCAACGTATATTAATCAGTCTAAATTTAAGAGCAGGGTTAACTTGCAAAAGTGCAGATTATTCTGAGATGTCTCCTAAAGTCTTTGGCCTTGGCTTTTGCACTGTTGACACAACTTAGCACAACACCTACCGGTGCGGAAAGCCTTTCCAACGCAACAAATGGTTAAGGTGTCACGTAGATATACACCCTCAACTCCTGAAGGATAAAGGTTACATCAACATATTTATGGAAGTAAATGAATCTTCAACTGAAAGTAGAACGATTGCAGGTTAAAGGGCCCTAGACGTGATGTAATCTTCAAGAACTGGGCGCCATTATGTTCTTTTGAGTATGATCATTATGATCGGAAAAACACAGTTTTATTTGCATGTTCATAATATTTTCGCCAGCTCTTGTAGGGTTTTAAATCTTATTTTTCTTGTACGATGTATTATTGATCTAGGAAGCCCCTACCTAAGCGGGGAAATCGGAAGCAATGGGAAGCAATTCCTGTTACTTGATGTAAATACACAGTTGTGTTCCACAACAAACTTTTTTGCGTAAGCGAGCTCTGCAAAAGAAACCCTGTGTTTGCGCACAGCAAAACGAAGAGTCGTTTTCAAAGACAAGAAAAAGAAAGCTGAAAGTTCTGTACCATTTATTTTTATAAAAGAATAGAACTAAAAAAACAAATACAACGATGAAATACATCGACAACTGTACTTCCTTCCACGACTCAGGTTCAAAGAGAATGAAGAAGTCGACGCCATCATAATAGGATGCTAAAAGCTTTGCACAGTTTTGATCTATGATCTACAAAGGAGGGAGAATGACTCCAGAGTGAAAAAAAAACAACAACAACAACAACATTGAACAAAGGTAGTAGTTAAATTACGTTCACAGGATAGTCGCCATTTTGTGTTCGAAAGAAATGGAAGAAGATTCTTCATAACACGTTTAAGACAAGATCATCTGACACTTCAAAGGCACATGACTATGAAAATATCTGCGTAAGAAATAATATATCAGCACATTTGCCTAGCTTGGGTTTACTTCCCCCGTTTGTATGTCGAAAAATGCTAAAATTTGAATGGAACTTTCCATTATGAGACGATGTTTAGTTCTGCGGGTAACATCCTCATTTTGAGGAGAAATAAACTATGTTGGCTACTAGCTATTACATCAGCCAGCCACAAGGCCGGATGGGTCACAAATCGGAAGCAAAAACGTTTCCGCGTAAAAAGCTTAAGCACTACCTGTTCACCGACCACGAAGATGCTTTAATTTTAAAACACCATTTTATCTTAAATTCATAGCTGAACCTGTATAAGAAACTCTCACAGGAAAACTATAGAGATCAAGAAAGCATAGTTGCATAATCCTTAGCGCTTTATTGCAAACATTGAATTAGTCTAACACATAAACATTACTGCCAAGAAGAACTTTCGCTGTTTATGTTGCCCTTTGTATATGTATTTACAAGCCCATAGCAATGCCCACTCCTACGCAAATGAAATAGCTCAAGTGTTCATTTGGTCTTCCGGGTTCAGAATTCTCCCCTGTTTGATCGTAGCGTTCTTCACCATCAAACTCGCGGTCCAAGATCATATCTAGATCTTTGCATTCATGCACTCGAACTCAAGGCCTGAGAACCCCAGCCCAAGGAATGTTGTGCACTGCATGACATATTAAAATGCTATGCTATACAACAACAGTCCATGGCCATGGCCGGGGAAATAGATTGAACAAGAGAGTTTATGCAAAGAACTGAAAGGTCTGCAGCGAAGTTACTCCTGCGTAACTACACGAGGGTGAATTAAACGAAAGCCTTAGCTTCAGTTCACTAAATATACAGACTCTGGCCGAGCATCTATCTCGCGTTATAACAACCTCAGTACCAGAAAGCGATATCTTCATAATTTAGCCCTGTTTTTAACAAACTCTGTTTATCTTTTCTTTTTGAAATCAAAGTAAAAAATAGAATCTCGCACAACAAACATTCCTTAGATCGAAACCGAAAAATGGAATCAAACAACAGCTTGGAAGTACGGCTTGAACCGTGTAAAGTTAACAGCCTTTCTCTTTCGCGATTAAGGATCGAACATTGATTGAAGTCCTAGTTTGCTGTGCGTCAGAGGCATTATCGAATAAAACTCACAAAGTGTGCTGTTTGTGCTACTTTTCGGTTTGATTATTGGCGATAAGAAACGGAGTAATGCGCTTTGACCTCCGTGACGCCAATGGAAAATGTCAAGGAGGAACAAAAACATCTCTAAGGTGTTTGTAGTATTGTTGTAGTTGGTATCCTGCGCTCTATCCCCAAAGTAACGTTGAAGAAGTACTGATAGATATTCTCTTGTAAGTAAACTGTAAATTAGATGGTTGTTAGAGTTTCTTTGCTACTTCTGCCAGGCGCTGGTTTAGGCAGAGAACAGAACATAAACAGCTACCTGTTCAACGATATCTCCTTGTCAAATTAGTACGCGGAATGCAAAAACCAAAGCAATGATAACAGCTCTTATAGCAAATCCAGCTTCTTCCTCCCGCCTTCTCCGCTGATGATAACTAAGTTCAACCTTATCCCCGATTTCAGCCAGCTGCTCAGCGACTTCAGAGACGATGAGGGAGTTGTTCAAGTCGCCATTAGGGGTAACTTGTGCCGGAGGTTGTTCGTACGGACCAACAGAATGTTCTTTGCACATCTTTCAAGAAGTTCTTTGAAAAAACTGAGGACTACGAGCGCAAAAGAAGGTGTTATAATGTTCAACAGTGCTCGGCTGATCGACGGAGTGAATTGCACGCGGCTTCAACACGTGGAAATGACTCACCGGCAAAGCTTGCGATGTTAGGACCTGAAAAAATGTCACAAAGCCGGTATACAGCGGCGCCGAGTGTATAATGACGCCGAGGACTTCTTGCTTCAGAACAACTACGAAGAAGATGGACCCAAGATTTTATCAAGATGAAAAAGTAAATTTTTGCAATTTGCAAATCGAAACACTGGCAATCTCACACGTTCGCCAAAATGATGGTCACCTATGCTGTTGGTTCATCCATGCTAAATATTTTTCATTGCGTGTGTTTTGCTTACATAATTATTCATCCGCTAAAAGCTGATTGGCTGCTGGGAGCTGGAAGGGGTCGATGATTGTAAGCGGCAACGAATGCGCAGAGATATCACGAATAAGATTGGAGGGGAAATATTAATTGTAATGACTTTCATAAAGGGGATTTTTCAGGAATTCCCCTTTTGAAATATGGAAATGTAAAGAAAGGCCCTTCTACGCTATATGATGTCCTTGCGGGATCAAACGAAAACATTCCCGTGACATAGGTGCGACTTTCTAGTGTCGTGCAATCCTTTCATGGACATGCAATGAAGCAAAAATGGTCTTTAAGAGGAGGTTTTCGCTTGTTTTAACATTTGGTTTTTAAAAAATAATTTCCGTTGCGGCTTTGGAGTAGTAAATAAAAAAAAAAAAACACAAGAACCTTTGCTAGCTTTATAAGACTGCAAAGGAAGGAAGGAAAAATTTTCACGGATGGAGACAATGACACACGCCATGACTGAGCCCTATTGTTGTCTCACCGGATACTGGACAAGTAAGCTGCAAAATCGCTTATAAGTGTGAAAATTGTGCGCCTCACGCCTAACACGTGCACCAACTCTCCTCATGTATCTACCCCGCTGTGAGTCCGCCGCCGGCAAGTGCTTCATATTATATGACATGCATTATTCAAACGTCCAATAGACAGGCACGTTATTCCGAGGGTTTTCGCGCGAAGAAAATTGTACTTTTCCCGGATGTAGAGAGAGCATGTTATTCCGAAACAGGGTCATGTATAAAAATGTAAGCACGAACGGAAAGAAACATTTTTTTTCTGTTAATTCTCTAACTCGCTCTAGGCTTTTTAAAAGAGGTTTACATTATAAAATTGAGGGTAATCGACCCTCGGGGCTCTAACGAAAATGAACTGATTTTGATTAGAGAGGAACCACTTTCCTAACAAAGTAATCAGCCAAGTGTACGGTAATCTAAAAGTAATACATTTAACATCACAAGCTATCAAAAGAGCTCATTTGCATTTTACCTGAGATTGCAAGGATCTTTTCTGAGGTTTTACTGACTAGTATAGGAATGAAAAAAATGTATTGTGAATAAAGTTGGAAAATGGTTACATGCGACTAGCCTCTCGATTTTTCGGAAGTTTTATTTCTTTAAAATGTATTTAGAGACAAACAGTATACATTACTGCTAACTCACTCAACCTATGTCTTTAATTTGTCACCTTCAACATGAATTGCACTCCAAAATCAGTTTCAATTTTTTGAGCTGCTGTAGAGGATATAAAAAACGAAAAAAGAGTCACAATTAGTAAAAAAGAAAGGCTTCCTTTATTCGACTTTTATAAATGTTCGTAACCATTCATTAGATAAGTATTATTATCCATTTGGAAATGCTTTGTAAGAAATCAATAGGGAGAAAATCGTGTTTTTTCAGTTGCTATTATAAAATGGACAATAAGTGTTACTTATCATGGAGACCGTAAAGCTTCTTAACTCAAACACTCTGGGGCATTTAACTAAATTCTTTTATGAAGCGGTTGACATTAATTTTCTCAACAAGTCTGTACGTAAAAGATCGGTAGGAAAAGTATTATACTTTTCACAAAGGTCTGATAAGAAGCCTTTTGAAAATCATTTTATCCTAAACCGAAACTGCGTAAAAGAAGATGTTGCTACAACGACACTTCGTTACAACTTAAGTGAGGGGCAATTAGATTTGTATTATTCTACGTAACTATGGCAAGAAATTAATTTTTCAGTATCTAATCGCTTCTTATGTTCAACAAATTTCTGACAATTACACTATCCTGTAATCAATATTAGAATTGGATTTTGTTAATTAATCAGGAGATCTTTGAAACAAATAACGGGAGATATGTTACGTTCTGTGTGTAATTAAAAAAAAAACAAAAAAACAAGGATATCCAATAACGAAGTTATCTATCTCCTTTTCTCTGCGGTTTGTTCTCAGATTCAACGTTTGCAACACAAACATAATGACACATTCCGGGTCATAACAATACCTTCTCAGCCAATGAGTTCAAACAATAACAAACTAGCAAACACAAAAACAACAATAAAAAGTAACTATGAGAAAAGGTTCGTGGCACACAGCTGGGTTCAGGACTGAATTATTCTGTGACTCCCCAGTAACTAATTCATTTTTATAAATTATGCAGAGCGGACGCTGTTTGTTCTTGATGTCTCTACAAAATTTATCTCTCTCTGCCGAGCCCTAATGTATTAAGAACATTTTGAGCAAAAGTGACGGGGTGCTATGATATATTTAGTCTTAAATTCAATTATTATTATATAACGGAGGACAAGTAAAGGTTTATTAAATTGTAAACAGGCAATGTAATGATTTAACTGTTTACATATCAAGATTTCCTTCCGCTGCCCTGTTACTTTTATTCTCAATTTACTATGTTTTTGTTTTTCCACTAGTGACCAAATACAAGTAAATGAACGTAACTTATCGATTGTTTTGTAACAAGACCCACAAATGAAAGTGAACGAGACAAAAAACCGCAATCTGAATACCAATATTCGGCATTAGGTTTCTCACATCAAGGAATCTACTCTTAGGGGTTAGGGTTAGAAAGTTTGAAATAATGATGAGGTGCACGGAGACAAGATATGAAAAATGTTATAATCTAAAGCCATAATTTATATTGTTCCTAATGAATTCTTCTCATTCAATCCAACAGGAAAACGGTGAGAAGAAGACACCTGATTAACCTGAAGTCTTGCCATGACTGTCAATTATTATAAATTTTCTCTAATGTGAAGGCGGACGGAGGCGTTGAAGCAGAAGAACCTTACCAAGCTTCGATAAGAAGGAAAAGGGCACCAAGTTGAATCCTGGGAACTACAGGAAATTAACTGGTTTTAAGAGTTTTTAACTCAACGAGTCTAGATATTCATTGGTCAGTTTTCACTAAGGCTAGAGTGGATATCAAGCGATCTTTCAAACTGTTCTTAACGTAGCACAGGAAGTCTAACAACTGTCATTAGATTGCAATTTGTAATCTTTGAAACACAACAGCCAGGCGACAGTTAAAATTCAAGGATTTAGAAAGAAAAATCATGGTTGCCTTTAAAAACTGTTTCTATGATTAAGGAAGAGTAAGATGTACGTCTCTGCAGGAAATTTAAGACCATCTGCTGATAATATGAATTGTGTTTAGTTTGTTTCCATGACACTCAGACCAAAGCCGGTAATTTTGGTCAGAGGGTAATTTGAAAACAAGAGGCCGGGCTTAAAGGAGGTGAAAAACCAAATAGAAACAAAAGACTGATGGTAGAAAAAAATTGTATTGTGAGACGGCCATTTGTAATTATGTGCGAAGCCGGATCTCCTAAGTTGAATATTATATATTTCCTTGTTGATTGTACTTATTCAACACTCCACAACACCATATCTTTACTGTGGAGAGATCCATTACGTGTCCTACCCAAGCAACTTGATAATTGATGAATTTTCTCAGTTTTAACCCAAGTTTTATTCAATTCAGGTACGAAAATGTAAAAGAAATATACACCTCAATATTAAAGGTTCCCGAAATGCGATCAGTGCAGAGAAGGGTTTGACCAAAAACAGGTCAACAACAACCGTTTTACCTTTACATCTATCTGAAGGAGCTCGTAGTATCGTCAAATCACGTACTCGTCACAATTAATGATAGTTACAGGGTTAAGAATTTTGGAAATTGCTTTTGGTGCAAATTCAAATTATCTCGTGTATGTTTCCATCTATTGTAAGATTCTATATCCGTGAGGTTTTCCCAGTTTGCGGCGGAGGCTTACCATGTCTCCCTTGCGGGAAGATAACAGGAAATTATAGCCATTGACATGCAATATCTTGTTCTTGTCTTCCATAGTTCAAGATGGATAACTCTTCACTGAATCATCTTCAAATATTCTCAGTGGCATATCACTGGCTTTCAATGCCAAATTAAGCATAAAACATAACCTAATACTTTCCATGCGTCCACGTAAGAACACTACTGCTGGTTTAATTATGTTCAAGATGAAGGGGAGTTGGCTCCGGATTCAAAGCTGAAGGAAACATGAAATACCACAACAAAGTCGTAATTGCGTTATCTATCCCTATACGATGTTGTATTTCAACCAGTAATTTGACATACTGATTTACTCTTCCCTCGTTGAAAATATACGAACGGGGTGGCACAAAAATCCGTAACGTTATGTTACAATACGTTACGTTACAACACGTTACGTTACAATACGTTACGTTACTTTACAAAACCTCCCACGCAGAGCAAATTGCATGCATATTTCCCGCGCGTAGACAGCGTGGTCAGCCCGCGACATTGGCATTGGCCCTGAAATAAGCTTATTTACCACGAGAACAAATACTGGCAAAATGTGCATTATTATTCAATTTGTTATTGCCTTTTTATCCTTTGTACGTGCACCCTCATATCACGTTGCAACCAAACCACCAATCCACGGAAAGACGCCGACATCAAGATTTTGCAAAACACAATTTACTTTGAAGATCAGACAATTTTAGTCTCCGTTTTCGTGTCAAATGTCTTGTCAAATGCATTGAAGGGGAAACCGTGACGTATCAGATGCATTAACTCACGGCAGTATTAACCCAAGGTCGTCTGCATGGTGAAGTTTATCGAGTAAATACGTTTAAAAACAATTTATTTCTATCTTGTGGCTTACGACTAACAAACAATCTGCCTGCAGCAAACATTAAAAGTAAAGCAAATTTAACATTAAAACGAGTACACGATAAGGAAAGATCAAAATTAAACTATTTTTCTATTAAAACTCTTTTCTGAGGAAAATGATTCATTCCTATTCAGCAAAATTCAATGCGTACGTGTTTCGATCTAATTAGAACCCCGGCTTGTCCTGACTTTGCATTTCTACTTATTTCTACTGCGTCAGTGAAAGGCAAAACAGTCATCAATATTTGATTTGAAAACTGACTCCGTAATGGCATGCGCAGATTAAAAAATTGTTTTTATCTTGAATTTCGCAATTTTGAAAAAAAAAAAAAAAATTAACCGTTTTAGGAACTGTACGGAACTAAATTGATTCTACCAATGTACAGTGCTAAATGACATGCTCGCTTCTTTTTAGTTTTCAGTCCTTTCTATTTCCTATTTTGTTACATTAGTTCCAATAATGGCACAAATAAAAATTTTCTCCACGAAACTCATCTAATCATAAACAAGACACCGTACCAAGCTAAGAAAAAATATCATGGATTGTTCTAAAGGTTATCTGTACTCTTTAGGAGATAAAAATACACCACAGCACAAGCTGTGAATTGTTGAACACATACACGAGATACGTAACAGATTCTGAATATTGCCTTATTGGTATTTATTCTACAGGTCCAAATCTCGAGTGGGAAAAGAGCTGGATCTGATTTTTTAACGAGGAATTTGTCTGGAGTATTACAACAAGAGTCAAAGCTTGTCATTTAAGAGAAACCTGCGCTATTGCTTCAATCTATCCCTACAAAAGTGTACCTTACTGCAGAACTCAGATCATAGCGAATCGCTTCACACCTAAATATCAAGTGTGAGTAGCAAAGTGTGAGTGAATTTGGTGCACTAAATAAAAATAATCTTTAAAACAGAAGGCACCTGCAAAGTTAAGCAAAAGGATTACAGCCTTCATAAATCCTCCACTGAATATGAGAATAATGGCGGCTGTAACCCTGTTACCAACTGTGCTAGTTGTTATGGCTTGCTTTAGTATTCGTGCTCAAAATATTCAACAATTTTAATTTCTAATGAAAAGAGACGATGCAATTAGTGTCATTATGGTTTCAATTTGTTCTAGCTTAATTCTATAATTTCAAATTTACTATTGCGATGATACTCTTCAAAAGTCAGGGTGTAATACTCAAAATTTTTACCGTAAATAAACGAATACATAAAAACAAAGATTAAAAAGTAATAATAAAAATTTCGGAATTAGAATAATACTTGCATATATGTAATGGTTTCCTGTAAGACAGAAGCAAAGAATTCGTCGTTGTTGGTGTTTTCTTATTTTTTTAATAAGAGGTTGAAATGTTTTTTCATCGCAACTTAAAGAACTGGAGATAGCAATGATAACCAAGGGAACCAAATGTGACCGTGGCATAGGAACAATATTTATTTATCTCTTCTCCATATAAGGGACTTTCTTGCTTATACTGTTTATTGTATTTATTATGCAAATAAGATCTAAGTCGTTCAGGAGAAGTCTCTGTCTAAATTATCAAGTTTATTTTCGACATATCAGCTTACGTCGAATGCGAAGCAATATCCCGACTTTCATTTTAATTCGGTAAAATATTGGAAGAATACCAAGATTGAAACGGTCAGAGTGGAATGAGATCTGAACATGTAATTGCGGCTCATCGAGTTGTGGTTGGAGTGTCGTATGATAGCGTGCTGTTCATAACAATATAAAACGATTTACGCCATCCACAATGTTTTAGAGTTGTTTTAAGGATTTTCCAGCGTGATGGATCCAAGGAAATTTTTAAAACGTCTCGCAACGGAGCTCGGGCTGATGAAAAATAACCCAAATGCACAGAAAAAAGCTGAAAAAGTTTCCGAACCTGCCAATTTTGAACATCGTGTACATGTGGCTTTGGATGAGGATTCGGGGAGATACGTTGGTTTGCCAATGCAATGGAAACAAATCGTCGAAAGAAAATCAGATGATGTTACCAGTTCTGAAGATTCACATCCAGTGTCGAGAAGATCTCTCACGCAGAGAAACACCAATATACTGGATGACAACGCGCTTGATCACACTTTGTCACGAAGGAACACGGGGAATTTCACAATTTTTGCCGCTTCTTTAGAAACGCCGCGATCAAGAGCAAGTGTTGCAGATAACCAAGATTTAATTATAGAAAGACTAAAACGAGAGTTAAGAGATTACAAAGCAAGAAATCCCCATGGGTTTCAAGAATTAAGGGAGGATGGTCTTCTATCAGGTGATCGTGATTATTCCACACAAAATCTTAGTAATGCATCAGTGACACGGTTTTCGCTTTCAAATAAAACAAACTCAAATAATACATTTCAGAGAAATACCAAACGGTTTGAAGACTTGGCCGAGGAGGATCAAGATTCCCTCGAAAACAAGCGTAATTCAAAGATTTATAATAATACGCTGTCAACGGCTGCAGTATCCGGGTATAAACATAATGGTTTATCTTCGACAAAAAGACACGCAAACAAATCAGCGAATTTTCAACGAATCCTGAAAAGATCAGAAAGCGAGGTTTGAAACGAATAATTGGTGATGTTGCTTGAAATTTTTTTCTTAATTAAGCAGACTTGACTGGACGAAATCATAGCGGTAAATTTGGGCAGAGTTCCCCAAATATATTCGGTTGTAACATTGTTTAATTTGTTCGTATGACAAAAAAAAAGAGTTTCCATTTAATGAGTCGCTGTTGAAATAAAGGTTCGTTATTTAAAAAAAATAAGATCACTCAACGAGAAAAAGAAAAAGAAATACAGATGTTTTATCGTCCATCAAAAGGATAGTCAATAAATCTTAACGTTTGTGACTATTATGCTGAGGAGAAATACTAGACATATGCAAATGTTTCAACAAAAGACGCAGTGGACATTGTCTGTCTTATTTTGGCGAGCATCTTTTAAAAACAATGAAAATTCAATAAATCATTTGTGACTGACGAGAGGTAAAACTTCCTACTGAAAGGCGGCTTAGCTTTAAATGACTTGTAAACAAACTTCTTGTACAGTGAGTGGTAAACGTCGCTTTTACAGAGTCGCTTTTTACCGATAATATTTTACTTAAAGTTAAGTTAGTTCTATGTTTTCAGAGAAAATCATAATTTAATATTAATGTTTACGTTTGACATAAAAAAATTGAAATATATTCTGAAGAAAGCTTAGAACTGAAAGCAATATTTTAGTAACATATTATGAAAATGTAAACTCATTCTTAACAAGGCCTCTGCATTTTCCGATTCAAAATAAACGGTTTATAAGCACTTGAAGGCTTCTTAGTGATATTATTATCAGGACTGTCGTTTCTAAAAGCAGAGCAGTATTACAGTTCACAAAAGAGAATGTCAAAAAGTCGGTCACTGTCATGAACAACAATCATTTTCGAGACTAAGCTAACCCGGCAAAATCAGACTGCATGAATTAAACTTTCTTTCAGAAAAGCGCTTGATCTACGAGCTGCAAAAATCAACCCGCGTGAGGTGATTAAAATGTACTGAAGCACTAATATTCAAATTGGTTGCCTAGCAATTATTCGTTGCTTTCGGAAACAAAAGGAACCAAGTAGAGGAACAATACAGCCTCTCTGATAATCACTGGAGCAATTACTTGACTATTTAACAAGGCCACTGGCATTCCAATCTGACAATATTGAGGCCTAACCCTGGGCCATTATTTGGATGGACGATAAGTTTCTTACAATCCGCAACAATTTTAATTTCTTACCAAACTAGACTCCTCGTTGACCTTAGTTGCGCCTTTTGTCTTGCAACTTAATCTAAATAAAAATAGTACAAAAGAAATTAGCCTGTGCCACGCGTTCTGAGCTCGTACACAAGGTGAAATAGTCACTAATGAGGATGCTTGGGACTAGTCGAATAAACGAGGAAACGGTAGATCACATGATGTTGGAGACAAAACCTGAGGAATTATTTCGAGGAAAACTGAAATCTTAGACGCCTAGGAATATAATTTTTTTTCACCCACTTTTATCGCACCAAAGCAACATTGATGTTCGTGCGCGTAATGCAAAAAAAAAAAAAAAAAAAAAA